TGCGTCGACGTCAGCGCCAGTGGCGAGAGTGCAGCAGCAGCCACCAAGTGAGCCGCGAGTCAGCGCAGCGCGCATCGATGCGCGTCGACAAGTCACGCCGAGTGGCGAGGTCAGCCAGCAGCCACCAGTGACGCGGCGACGCACAGCAGCAGGCGAGTCAGTCAGCAGCCGCCACCAGCCGAGCACAACATGTTGACATGCTTGCGAGCAGGTATGCACTCTCCGGGAGTGCACCCTCTGTCTAAGGCTTAGCATATGTTCTTATACACACTGTACACAATTAATTACTAATGTTGAGGTGACCTCTACTCAAGCGTGGCTTCAACCTTGCGGAAGGCTGGCCGAAGTTATTGTTTCATAATGTAATTAAGTCTGTAATCTGTGCATATCTGTGTGCTTTTATGAACGTGCATAAACGCCTGCATAACTGTCATAAGGAGTCCTGCGGGTGGCAAGTGCCCGCCTGCCGCACGCGAACCTCGCGCAAGGATCTGCGCCGCCTCAGCACTTCCGGTCGGTCAACCACCGCTCATTTCCGGCAACTGCTTCTCTAGTTATCCCGTCTCATCGTGGTTGATAATACATTTGAATTGATGGTACAGATGGATGGGTGGTTCATTTGTCATTACAGCTGTCTGATTAAAATTTTCCGTAACTCAAATGTAGCTTCAACCTTGCGGAAACCAAAAAAGAAAAAATAGCCAAAAGGAAAAACAAAAAAAAAAACAAAAGGACCGAAAAAAAAACAAATGGCTGGCTTGAAGATTTATTGCTTCATAATGCTAATTACACCTCTCCTGTTAAGCTCGGATGCATAATCATGTTCGGCTTTTATGCAACCGTGGCACATAAGTCAGTTGTAAAACAGACATGAATCTCATATCTATCGCAAAATAGAATGGGTTTAAGAGGAATTATATTCCACATAGTTCATTCTATATTTGCAATGCTGTAAAACTTGTTGAGTAATACTTTGAATCGAGTGGTACAATGATGGGCGGTTCATTTGTCATTGCAGCTGTCTGATTAAAATTTTCACGAATACATAGCACAGTTGTTGACCAATTTATGAATTTTCTCAAGTGCATCAAATGCTTTATAAATTATATAATATATATGCGCTATCGATCGCGCTGGCTGACTCGCCTGCTGCTGACTCACCGCTCACTGGTGGCTGCTGCTGACTCGCCACTCGCTGACTCGACGCGCTATCAATCACGCGGTGGCTACACACACACGCGAGCGATTGCATGACCTCCGTTTGCGCGGAGGTAACAAGAAGGCAGCTACACACATCAGATGCCAAACCAGGGCCCTCCATAGAGAACAAAGTATGAAGTATAGAGGTACAGCAGCAGAACGATTCTCCATGACCACGTCTAATCTCTACTGCACACATTCACGCCTTTAGAGGGTTAGCGAACACTAGAGTTCTAAATTAGGCCATGATTGTAGCGCAAGTACGTTTATTGTCCCAGTCTAAAAGTGTGGCAGACAAACTTTGCCAGCAAACAGTTCAGATATGACAGTAATCCACAGGGCAAGCACGAAGAAGATGTATGACTTTCCAACTTGGAATGTAATGGGAAGCTGGTACGCTTCACCTCCAATTTCCTCCATTTGAAACCCGATTGGGAAGATGACAGCCGCTACACAAAACAGGATCACTGGAACAGATGTCACATATTTAGCGTTGACCCATGAATATCAGTACTCAGTAGAACACTGTTTCAAAACACATGCTGCAGATATATGAAAACACATATAATAACATATATAACAATAACCATATAAATATACAAATAAAAATACCTATATGATAGATATTCATCGCCAGGGTAGGTTAAACATAGTTCAGGTTATGCATCAGCTACGTACTTCCAGTAAATCCGATCCAGCGAGCATACTTGACAACTCTGTATTCCCAGAAAGACAGGGCAAGCAGCATACACGTAACGGTGACGCAGAGACATCCGAGCACAATGAGTATGAAGGTGAGCAACCACTCGGGGTGCGCTTCAGGGTAGAAACAAATCTCGGGACGTCCGTATATGTTGATGCAGGTCTGTATGAGACCAAAGTTTGAGCTCCCTGAAAAATCATGGCAGTAATAATATTATTAATAATAACCAAAATGAGAATACCAATAAATTAGGATAACTTCTTTCCTTGATAACTGTTTCAATAAATAAATAGAAATATGGCAAATACATGCAGTCATGCTTTACAACACCATCAAATTCAATGGCTTCATAAACTTGATAAAGTTCACCACATCCCATGAGTCATGACAACACCAAGTTCCATGTGCAATGAGACTATGTAGTACTGCCAGTACTATTGTTGCCTGAACTAGGGCCTAGTGTATAGCTCCTAACTAACGTTGGTACCTCCATGGTCCCACTGTCCGCTTCCACTGGGAACGATCCACTCGGGAAGGGCCAAACTTGCCACAGCAAAGACATCTGCGGCTAAAAACAGTGCACCAGAAATCACGCTGAGCTTGTCCATCTAAATTGTAATGTAACCGTGATTTTGCCCTTAATTATCCAAATCCAGGCTTCCAACAAATCTAAATACCACCATGTTAAATGGTAGACGCTAATAGATCAGAACAAATGAGAAACTTT